GCGTCACTTTCTTCGTCGCAGCTAGATCTGCTTCAAACAAAAGTGCTGATGCAATAAGTTGTTCCCTGAAATGTGCTTCTGGTCTAGTTGTCAGAAATGTGCTTCTGTCAGCTCTGAGGGGTTTACAGTCGTCTGTTACAAAAGCTGAAATGTCAAGTTTATAACTCAGTCATCGTTCTCATCAGGAAATGGCACAATGACAGATAATGTCTGTCATTGGAATTCAGCTCACGAACCTTTTACATTTAAGATTCTCAAGGATCTTTAATACCATGGCGTGGCTGTAATTCGTGGTTTCAGTATGAAGGAAATATTTGTACAGTAGACCAGTCTCATAAATACTGGTCGTTACTCAATAACGTATGACTACGTTTTCAGGGCATATTAGACCACCCCTGCTCCTGGTTACCACTCCTCCTGGGGCTGACGGATCTGTCGTATTTAAACACCTGCAGTGCCAGATGCATTTCGCATCATTTTATTCGCTAAAGTTACCTGGCGTTTATTACGAAGGCCGTTTCAGGAGCTGATGCTGTTTATGAGCTGTGCATAAGCATCAAAATGTATTTTTACGATGAATTGAAGATGCATTATGAATATCATGTAGCACCTTACTTCTTAAACCAGAAGGACACTGTTTTGCTTGACATAGCACATACGCAACCAATTTGAAAACAAGACTTTGGTTCTGTCTGCTGTCAGGGGGGAACGATGACGGAATGATATCACTACCTCATGTAAAAAGTACGATTACGGGCATTTGCAAAGTTTGACGACGTTAAATTTCATATTCTACAAATGGAAATGCATTAGATGCCGATAAAACGACGTGAAGAAAGCCCTTTTGACGAAAACGAATTTCCTTTAAATGGCTGTGGTTAAATCTCAAAAATCAGTCGTTCTGTCAAAATTTCAGATTTATTTTTATGCCGTTTTATGTTAGAAGCTCAAACCTTGATAACACTGTACCGTTTACGGAATCTGTTTCTCTTACTAGTTTCCACTGCCTTTTTTTTCAGAGCGAAGTTAACGTACATATAAGTAACATGGCATCTTACTTTGTTATTCACCGTATGCAATTAGTTCTGTTCAGTCTAAGAACACAGCACAATGTAACATGAGTTCAAAATTTTTTGTATGCATCGCGAGTTTACGCTAAATTGAATCTTATTTTTATTTAGATTAAAAGAGTCAAAGATTCTGAAGAAGTACCTATGGTTTGTAAGTATATTTTGCTTGGTCTTAAAATTTGAATGCCATTACATACTTGATTATTTATATATCGAAACCTGTGTTAATCATGTTCATTTCTGTCATTCTCTTCAAGTTGTGAAAGCAGCGGCTTCAGTGTAATTTTTACATGCTCCCAGTCTTCAGCTAAGAGCGAGGAAATTTCATTGCTGGATTTCCCGGTGCAACAGTCTCAATTTTCGGTAAATGCCAGACATAGTGACCCTCTATCTGTTCCTTGGGCTGATTTCCGTCTGACTTTATAAGGAGATTTCGCTCTTGGCTTTTGACTCTTACTTCTGTCATTGTGACCAGTTGTCGTAACTCCGCGACTGTGGTCTTACCATCTGGAGAATGATCTTATCTTATATGTTTGGAAACTTATCAAGCCTCGTCACACCAAACATTTTCAGTTTAATCTCACTTTGGCCATTTTCTTTCGCGATTGCATTTCACGCCAGTATCCTGCATTCAGACCCGTTGTGAGAGCATGTGCCTATGCAAAGTTGAAGAAAACTTGTTTGGCACCGCTGTTTTGTTTTTTCTTTATCAGGGATCAGTTCCAGAAGATGCCATTAAAACAAAGTCGTCTGCAAACAGCCTTTTCGTCTCGACATCTCCTACGCTTATATTCTTATCTCCTCGGCTGTGCCTGACTATTTTTTCCAAGTACAGCACAAACAGGAGAGAAGACGAAACGCAGCCTTGGCGGAGAGCCAGTTCCAACTTGTATAGGTCTCAAAGCTGCAGCTGCTGTCCACCTGTAGTTATTGGATAGCGCGTAACAGCTTACCTTAAATCCCTCCCATATTTCCGCAGGCACGATGTTAGCCTGTAGCGCTCGTTGTAATCATAAGCTTTCTCTAGGTCAACGAAGCAGATGTAGACCGGATGAGCGACCTTCGACGATTTCTTAACAATCTGGCGTATGGTAAAGATCTAGTCAGATCTGTTTCCCCTATCTGGAGCCACGGCGCTCTTCTTTTCTCTTCGAGTCATTTATTGTGCTGCACATCCTTTCTACCCTTTTGCATAAACATTTTCCGGGAAGCTCAGTCAGGTAATGCACTGATAGTTGGTACACACTTTATTGTCTCCATTCGAATCTTGAAGAAAAGTACTACAACCCCGTTCTCCAGTCCACGATCTCCCCCGTATACATTGCTGTTTGACAGACACGTGGTAGACATCACGTCCCTTGCCACCCAAAGCGTTAAGCATTTCATAGTGAATTTCATCCATTCTAGCATCCTTTGCACTTTTCAAGCTTTTCACAGCATGGTTTCAACTACGCAAATACTAATATCCGTTCCTCTTCCCTCTGGGCGAGTCTTCGTGCGGTTGTTTGGTGTTAAAGAGTTTCTCACAGAACTCTTTCCATCGCTGAAGTATGTCCTGATCTTGTCCTTGATCCTATAATTTTAGCAGTGCCTCCGTACTTCTCTTTCAGTACTTTTAGACTGTCCTTCTTTCTATCTAAGATATAGCGGATGATATGTCAGAACGCATTGTTTGCCGCCTGTAAACGCCCTATTTGCCGTTGACTCCAACACCTCAGTAAAGTTTCCAAGAAATCAGTTTTCGCTGCCATTTTCTGAGCTTATTCCTACTGCAAGCTAGCTGAAAGCTCTTGGAAGTTCGTTTCTGATATCCAGCGGTAGGCCAATTCGTTTTGAATCACAGCACTTGGCGGCAGTTGTCACTAAGCCGCTCTGGAAGAGCTTTCGCTCGGTTTTCTCGCCTCGCATGTTTTGTCACTTAGATCTCTTTAAACTGTCGTGCGATGTTGTTGCAAGTTCTGTAATATCATGTAATATCCATCGCATGAGATAAATAATGTTTCCCATTTGATTCTCTGGTTGCTTTTGCCGCCAGGTCCTCGCGCAATAGTCCATCGCTTCCAGTGGAGAATGACAGCAACAGATGATGATTGCTGACAACTCGGCGTCTCTTTTTTCGCGAACATCGATTACAGATGACGATGCCATTATCGAGTCAATCATAGACTTATGTGTACGAGTTTCTTATTCCAGGCATACTGATATACGTCTCGATGTTCTATGAAGTTGTTCATAATAGACAGTCAGTTGTTTGCACAAAACCGCATTTGCTTCATGCCGTTATTATGTCACTAGGGTTGTTCTATCCAGTTGCACCTTTCCACTTTCCAGTATCTGCTCTGATATGCGCAGCAAAATCGTACATTTGAAGAAGGGACTCCGTAGTCGGCACTGCGCACAGAACACTCTCCACTTCCTCAAGGAAGAACTCATTCTCTTTCCAAATTGATCGCATAGACCTTAAGCAAGGTCAACGCTTTAGACTGTTCTCGCTTCAGTCAAAGATTTGCGTCCCTTCCGCTGAAAGGCTTCCACCATTCGATTATTTTGTCAGTAAAGTTGGGTTCTATCGGAACACTGACACTGGCCTGAGCACGTGTGATGTTGACCCCTGATTAGAACAGCTTCCGCCCACAAAAGTTCAGAATTCCACAGCCTTTGCGCTTCTTTGACGAGATTCCAACAATATCGAGTTGATACGTTGCGGTCTCCTCAACCAGATCCTGCTTTTTCCGCTTGAGTGATGTGATGTTCCAAATTTTGATTTGAATTGAATCCCGGTTTCTTTCATGTTGGACGTTAGCTAATTTGCTATAATGGCACTGTGCTCTCTGCTTCATCCGTTTGGAATGGCAATGGGCTCCATTGTGTTGACTGGCATCTGCCTGTTTTTCTTTCAATCTTCGGCATCTTTCTGCTGCGTCTCCAGCTGCAATATAGATGAAGAAGATTCTAATCGCTGACTTTTCGCAGTCTAACGCAGTTCCTGCGTTGCTTGATCACTTGAACGACGACCAGCCGGCATAACGTTCGATAACGGCAACACCATGATGATAGGTAGCAAGGTTTTACAAAGATTTCGCCATAGTCCTCAACCCATCTTATTTCTCACCCGGGCTTACAACTCGCAACGTCGAAATTATAATTGCATTTTGGTGATCAGTATAAGATGAATTTTGGTCAGACACTGTTACGTAAGTTTTAATATGAAGGATTAACTTTTAAAATAAGCACAATGACATCAAGGCTATTTACGGCTGTACAGCATCCTCTGGAGATACAGGAGTTCGACTTACGAGTTGTCTTGCAAATGCTACAGTATTCTTGAAAAATAGCATAAAAATAGTTTGTTTATACGGAAGATGAAATGTAGCTAAACCGATGATTGACTTATTCTGCATACAGTATGCGTTTCATATTCTGCATATTCACATGCCAAATCTTTCATGTCTAGCTCTTAAACGTTGCAGTTTCGTTCCATTGGCAGATTCTATAGTTAAAATATGTCTTCCGATTCAGTTTTGATAGGCACAAAGAGGACTTCCACTCTGGGAATGTATCATTCGAAACCCTTGCGCTGAATGGGGCCTTGGCCTGTCCAACTTCTGTGTGCAGATAACGGTTGAATCGGAATCGGTACCTCTTAAGTATTTTGTATTTGATCCAATTCGCACTTATTTTTCGAAGATGTAATAGAACTCTGTCGTGTAGACCCTGGTGAGCATAAATGCGAAGTTTTTTTTACAAATGATTGTCATTTGCAAACGGAAATATTCATTGGTCTTTGCACCGTTGATTTTTTCCTATCTTCGACATTTTGTCTGTTGGTAGTTTTCTCATTCTCTGTTTCCGTATGAAGAAGGTGGAGCTAAGAAGCAGTTGATTTCAGTGGTTGGTAATAAATGTGATTTGCCTCAAAGAGCGGTGGATATGCGGGCGGTGCAAGAAACCGCTAAATCCTATGGCATTCCTTTCATCGAAACTTCTGCCAAAACGCGCATGGGCGTCGACGATGCGTTTTATACACTAGTTCGCGAAATCCGGAAATATGTAAGTTTCCTTATACTGTTTGGCTCATCTAATGAGTGGTGCTTGTTAAGAAGGAGAAGGTTGCGAAGGACAGCAAAAAGCGAAAAGCCCGGAAAACCAAAGACAAGTCGAACAGCAGAAGAGGCTGCGAAATTCTGTAATAATCGTTTAGAGACTAGCATAGGTTTTCGATTTGCTTGTTCAGCGGTATATGTGTTATTGCATAAGCGATGTGTAATCTGTTTGAATGGTTGCTAGTTGTGGGCACCAGAATCCACCGCAACCGTTAGGTGTTGTTGTAACTGACTGAACATCACGTGACAACGACGACGACGACGACGACAAAACAGGTGCAGACATTTCTTGGGGGCGACCGACTGTTACGTCTACTGGCAGCTGCCTGCCTGAGAGTACATTGTCGTGGCAAGTACTTCATTTCTATTTCCCTGGCGCTCGTTCTCTGAAGTTAAAGCTCTCATAGACAACGGATGTGTAATGCGTTTGTGCTGCTTGTGCTGATGCGATGCAACTGTGTATAAGGCAATTGTGTCACATGACCTCGATTATTATTATTATTATTATTATTTGTTTGCTTACTTCCGGTTTGTATGATTTTGTTGCTACTTGGACATTTCTTCAGTCTGTATTATAATATAACTGATGATTGTTTCTAGGCTGCAGTACGCAGGTTTTTAAGGAACACATTGCGTTATGATAATAAATTCTTCCTAACAGTGCATCTCTGTGTTCGCGAAAAACGGTGAGTGCCGTGTATTAACAATAAATCTGCACATTAATTAACTTGAC